GCCATTAGGGATGATCCTAAAAAAACCGAAACCAATTTAGTTATTTTGATACAAGTCTGAGTATCTGCTTCAGAATAGGAGTCATTTCATTCCTTTACTGCTACAGCCCAGCAGGCACCAGTGTATCACTTTTGGTGCATCTATTAAAAAATAATCGGGCACACACCTACATACACACACTGGAAACAGGCCCAAAGAAAGACTCCTTAAGTTTCCTGAGATATTTATCTTGACGTTACAAAATTCAAGCTGTGTGAGCAAGAGCTTAGTTTCTACATGTTTGTGCCTTACACAGCCTAACCCACTCTCTCACCCAGTACTTCCAGCACTCGTGTCCCCTATGCAGACAAATGACTAATTCAATTACCTTGTGTGCTGACAGGCCAGCTGGCTGCTGCTTCTTGGCATGGACAGAAAGTGTAAGTTATAACCGTCTTTCCCTCATAGTCTTCTCTCTCTGCCTATTTCCACAAAAGTTAAGAACTTCACACTCCTTTGTTAAAACCGGTTGAAATAGGCTAACAAGTTCAGAAGCTGCAGAGTGACAGACAGACTGCATGGGTGAATAAGTCTTGTTTTCTTTGGAAAACAGATCAAGGCGGGAAAGAAAAGAATCTAAAAAATGTTAAAAAAGCAAACTTGTAAGGTAGATGTATGGGCTGTGCTCCACCAACTCCCCAAGCATTGACCTAGCTCAACCCAATCTAAATCAGAGCAGCCACAGTCCCACCACACCCACAGGCATTCAGCATTGTCCCTTCCCTCCGACTGGCAAATCCTGCCAAAAATACACCTGTGAAAGAAAAAAAGGAGTTGTTTTTTGGCACAGCCAGCTCTGAGCCTGCTTACTGCCTTGTCACATGGACACCAACACAATATAAAAGAAAGAAGCAGGAGCTCGGTAGCCCCAGCTGCCATGGCACTGCACACGTGGTACTTAACAACATGCAAGACACAATCCTGAAAACACTTAACGCCGGACATAAATCTCAGAGCCTCATTAGTACCATATCCAGTAATGCGCTGATGTTATAAAGAAGCACATATGCATTCATGGATTTCTCATTTTGAGAAGGTTAGAAACCAGAAAAAACCAAACTATTGAATGCTACAGCTTTCTGGTTCACTGTAAGCTGCATTCTGGCTTCTTTTTTTTTTTTTTTTTTTTTTAAAGTGTCAGATCTTGTTTTCTTCCTGAAAGTGTAACTAAACCTACATCCTCAAGATTATTAAAAATAAAAATAAAATAAAAAAGCACTACAAGCAAACATGGGAATATTTAAACACAGACATCACCCGGTGCAGAGTTCCCTTTGGACAGACTGTTGTCCTAAATAAAGTCAAAAGATCCATCAACACTGGATTCTTTGTGCAGAATTCCAGGCCCACAGAACAAACCATTGCAGCCCCACTGATGCCTGGGAAAGATCAGCAGGTAAAGCAGAAGAAGCAGAGTGTAGCCAGAGTGGCCAATTTAGATGGAGGAAGTGTGAACGGCGGAACATAAGGCAAAACATCTTGGGAAGAATATCTTGATGATATCTTATCTTGGCTATACAACGCAGTAAGGTTAGGGGAGAAAAATTTTTATCTGCATGCATTTATGATGTCCCTTCCCCATTGCAATCAGAATACAGGCACAAAATCATTACTTATCAATGCGTAACACAGCATGAATATACGTTCATTAGATTATTCATACTAGATATATAAAATAAGAATAACCTTGAATTATAAAACACAGCATTATATTATTTTAAACCTTGACAGGAAACCTTTGATGGAGGGGTTTTAAAGCATTTTTTCCTAGCAATGTATTAATAACAGGAGCCATAATTCTCAGTTTTTATCCTACGGTGAAAATTTGGCAGCTGTTGCACAGTTGCAAAACACTTGTGCAGCATCAAATAATAAATACGTTTCTGGATCTAGCACACGTTCTACTGAGCTACCTGCTTTACTGACATGAAACAACAAGAAGTTCCAAAGATTAACTGTGTGCTACATCACAAATTCTGTTCCAAGGTATTTATAAGCCCCTCCTTACAGATATGAAGGAGGAGAGGAATTAATTATAGCAAAAAATATTTTTCATTTAATCAGAAGCACACTCACATTATCCAATAAAATCTTTTTATCCAAATTTACATCTGAGTTTAATTTAGATCCTTTACTAATAACTTGCACTGCTTCTTTTCTACAGTCTTTTTAAGGTGACCTACATTGTTTGGGAATAAAGGTGAAAAGAAGTCATCACTTGCATGGTAGTCTAACCCCCGCCATATTGGCTTCTAATTTAGCAGCGTTATTCATCTTCTTCTTACAGTTACAGCTCTGCACAAAGTCATCAAAGTCACAGGTAAAACTGGCACCAGCTTCTAGATGGATTGGATCAGGCCTGCAGAGTTTCAAGATGGGGACAGGAACTAGACTGGAGAGACCCCAAACGTAAATAAATCCAACACAAAAGACCTCAACACTCACCATGCATTTTTGAGGAGTCAGACCTCAGCACAACTGACCTTCAAAAATGGAAGGAAAAAGCGAGCAGTGGCGACCCATATGGAAGAGGAATTTTGGCAAACAGTTACCACCACTGAGTGGTAAACAGCAGTAACAACGCAAGGGAGAACAAAAAAGTTAACGCAGAATTCCACAGAACGTCAGAGGAACGCAAAGAAATCGCAGCCTCCTATTCGATCAGGAAAAGTTTCTGCCTGTATCTGTAGCAAATTAGTACCATGTGAGCAGTCGGACACAGGTAGTGCAATGTAAAGCTGAACAATCACAGTGTTTGATCTGTGACCATGGCGATCCAACGCCTTTAGAAATCATTATTTTCATCTGTTGAAAATAAAAAGTGAACTCGGGGGCCAAGAAAAACCTGCATTATGCATATGGAACAACAACGATGAAATACCTCAGCGTGTGTCATTGAGAGGAGGAAGAACCTTTTTTTTTTTTTTTTAATGTCAGCTTAGCAGAGAAGTCATTTTAATTATATAATTATGGAAGATTTGGGAAGATTTACACAAGCCCCATAATTGGGCATAAGACATCACATCCTCTGATACATACACCGCTCCGGTCTGGGGAACATTCTTTGCTCTGACCAATGTGTGCGGGGGGGGGAGGGCGGGGGAAGGAAGGGGAGGGGAGAAGCACGCAGAATTAAAAATACTTCCTCAGATTAAATCGTATTTACTTCATTCGATTAAAACGCTTTGATTGCCGAAGAGGCGCCGAGATATTTCTCGTGACGCATCTGCGCGGTTAAACGCCGCGTTCCCCGGGCGATAGCCCCGACACTCAAACAAAAGGCGGCCGCCTGACAATGAGGGGCTCTTTCTTTTATTTTACCGAGACATTTGCGCATCCGAAGCCGCACCGCCGACCCGACCCGTCCCCTCCGTCGTGCGAGAGCCGTGACAGCCGCCGCACGAAACGTTAAAGCCCCATCCGGCAGATGAGCCATGCAAAATGTCTCCTCCGATCCCACCCCCATCTCGCCTCCAAATAAATAAATAAATGCGGAGGAAATGTGGAAGGCACCGAGCGCACCGGCAGCACCGGCGCTGCCCGAGGCCCCGGGCCCGAGGGATCGCCCTCGCCGCCGCTCGCCGGCCCCCGCGACGGGAGGGCTCCCACCTCCTCCCTCAGACAATGGTGTTCTCCCTGCCCGGGCTCGGATCGCCGCCGTTCGGCGCTAGGCCCCGGCCCCGGCGGGCCGGGCGGACCCACGGGCAGGGCCGAGGAGCGAGGGGACGGCAGCCCCACTCCGGCCGCCTCGGGACCGCCCCAGGGCCGCGGCGGGGCGGCGGTAAATAGGCGGCCGTCGAGCCTCGCCTCGCCGAGCCTCGCGCCCCCAACCGAAGCGCGGCCGCCGAACTGCGCAGAACGCTGCCGGGCCGCGTTCCGCCGGGGTGCCCGGCACCGGCTCCCCTCCTCCCGCAGCCCCTAGTCGCTCTCCTCCCGCCGGGCGATGGCGGCGCGGCCCTGAGGGACGGGGGGAGGGGTGGAGGGGTCTCGCCCCATCCCCTCCCGGGGGGCCGGCGGCGATCGCTCCCTTCCCCCTTCCCCCCTTCCCTTCGGCGGCGGGCGTGGGAGCGCGGGGCCGAGCCGAGCCCCCGCCTCCCTCTCTCCCTCCCTCCCTCCCTCCCTCTCTCTCTCTCTCTCTCTCTCTCTCTCTCTCGGCGGGGCCCGACGGCCCCGGGCCGGGCAGAGCCCGAGCCAAACAAAGCGCGGCCTGAGCGGGAGCCAGGGGTGAAGCCGCCCGGGCCCTTCCTGCCGCGGCGAGGCCTGGCTCCGCCACTGGCCCCGCGCAGGCCGCGTTCGGCGCCGCGCTTACCCCGATCCCCGGCGGCGGCGGCGGCGTTGTTCCTCTCCTGCTGCTGCTGCACCGGGCGCGGCCTGGACACTCGCCTGGGTCTCCTGTTGGCGGCTCGGACCGAGTTCATTTGCCGACTCGTGTGGGTGGCGGGAGGGGAGGGGGGAAGCCTCCGGCACCCGGCGCCTCGTCGGGAGGAAGGAGGGAGCCGCGGGCGGCCGCCTCGCCTCGCCTCGCCTCGCCGCAGCGGGCAGTAGGGAAAGGAAGGGAAGGAGGGGGCTCCGGGCGCGGGTCCCGCCGCCGCCGCCGCCGCTCCTCGGCTCGCTCGGAGGCAGAGGAGCCGCTGGGTCTCCCGAGCGCTGCCTGCGGGGGACGTCGGCTCCGCGCCCCCCACCCGGCCCCCCCGAAAATCCCTCTCTTAAAGGAGCCCCGCGGTCCTGCCCGTCTCAAGCCCGTCGCTGCTCCGTGGCAGGAGGAGCCATTGACACTGCCGGAGACACACACTCGCGGGGAGGCAGCCGCTGGCGGCCGGGCTCCGCCAATCGCCACTTCCCACACAGCGGGCCGACGGCGGGACGACCAATCGGCGCGCCGCTTCTATGGGACGCGGGTTGGGCGAGCTGCGCGGCGCGGGGTGGGGTGGCGGAGAGCGATATAAGGGGCGGGCGGGGGAGGCCGGGCCGGGCGGCGCGCTGTGGGCGAGCGGCCATGGCGGCTGCGGCGGCTGAGGCCCAGGCTAGGCTGGCAGCGGGGGCCGTTCTGTTGTGCCGCCGGGTCCGGTGCTGGGTCCTTCGCAGAACTCCAGTCGGGCACCCAGGTGGGCGAGCAGCGTGATGAGGAGCTCTGAGGGGCCCGAGTGCAAGGGGAGGGAGCGGGCTGCTGGAGTGCCCCGGTGTGCCTTGTGTGTCCGTCCGTCCGTCCTGCCTTGGGAACCCGCGTGTGCTCGGCGCTGGGATGGGGGTTAGGTTTCTGTAGAGTGCCGTGGCCTGACGAGTTGTTAGCAACTTCTTCATTGGGGGTGTGTGTGTTTCGTGGTCTGTATACTCTTTGATACATTGATGTGCTGTTTATTTTAGGCTGAATTTCTAGACACACTGTAAGGCTTCTGTTTTATTCTGTTTGTTGTATTGCTGCTCTTTTGGTGGCTTGCAACCAGGAAAGAACGATTGAATCAAACCGTGCTTTTTTGCTTTTCAGAGTTCTACTAATAAATCCAAGCAGTGAGGAGTGCACCCTCTCTTTGCAGAGACTGCTTCTATTGCTGTGGAGGTTGGTCAGTGTGCAGTACTGCTTTAAGCTGAGCACTTGAGGCCTCTGGAATCAGCACCTGCTGTGTTAGCTAGTGTAGAATGTAAGCAAATGCTTGTAATTAAAAGTACATTAGGCAGAAGGTTATTCAAAGCTAATGTGAAGATGTAGTGGAACCTTAAGAGGTGAGTGCTCTCTCAAAACATAAGTCATAATTTGAAGATATTTATATTTGTGCTTCTAAAGTCAATGGTAATGAAAGTTGACTGAAGTTCCTATCAGTCCAGAAATCAAGTGTGTATGTAATGTATATATATATGAAGGAATAGGGTTTTTTTTAGTCTTTTGTTGCCGTGAAGGAGAAAACAGTGGAGGATTGTTTTCCATGCCTGAGAAAAAGAATTCTTATACCTGTGACAGGAGGATGAATAATAAGGTTTATTGCATGTCAAGTGGCCTTCATGGAAGAAGAGAGTAGCTGTCGCTCTGTTTGGGGCCTGTATCTGCAATAACAATTGTCAGGCCAGCCAGTAAACATTTGTTAGGATGTGCAGGTATCAAAGTGCTTTTTGATGTTAACAGCATTGTGAAACTGCTTTAAATGATCCTTATTCGCTGAAGAACTGTGCTTGAGTTTCTGTGATGCAGTGAAGGAATTTCACATCATCTGGAAACTTCTCTAATGTTTCAGTAAATTAACTGTGATTCTGTTAAGCTGTTCTAGTTGGTCTCTTTCCTCCTCCAAGATCCAGAAAATGATTTCTTAGTGACTCAAAGTTACCTGAAGTTATTCAGTAGAACTGCCCAAGTTCTTGAAAACATATTTAAGAGACAAAAGGATGGAGTGCTAATTTTAATCTAAAGTTTCTGATACTAGAAGAAAATTGTTTGAAACTTGAACTAGAGCAAGACTTCGTAGAAGTCAAAATCTTAATCTTGAAGTACTTTAGAACTAAATCATTTCTTGGCATAAAAACAGCTTTTGTTATTGGCTTCTTAAGCTGTTAACTTGTGTTAAGAACATAATGATATGAGTCAGTGAAACTTACTGTGAATGGGGGAAAATGTTATGACTATTCATGAACAGTTCTAAAATGGAGTCTTACTGATTTAGCCAAGATTGAGGACAATCTCTAGAAGGCTACAGTGCTTTGAGTTCATGGTAAGTAAGTATGCTGAGTAAGATGAGCTTATTATTTGTATTAAGTTACTAAATAAATCATTGGTATGAAAGTTATGTGTGGAAGTGTTTGTTTGTATCTTACAAGGTATGGGCTATCAAAATAGTGATGTTACTCTTCTGATAATCTTAGCTGTGTTTTAAGAGGCCAGACATCAAAAAGCCTGGAAATTCTTCAGAACAGTCTTAACCGGAATACTTTTTCTTTCATAACAGAATTGAATGTATCCTGTTTATCTCTGACAATCATAATTTCAGCTTTGTAAGTCATTTCTTAAAAACGTGTATGTGGCAATCTCATGGATTAATTATTGCTGTGAAGCTTCTTGAGGAAACCCCCTTCTGCTACACAAAGACACATGGTGTGTTCTATGGTATATCCAATCTGCATCGAATTTCAAGTGTGCATCTTCTCATTGTGTACACAAGAGTTGGCTGCCAAGAGATCAACTTCCTTTCTGCATGTGGAAAGAGATTCCACAGTGTGCTTAGTGATGGCAATGAGTTGTTAATTGAGTAGTTGAAACTGCTTAACTAATGAGACAGTTTCACAGAAGTAGCACAAGTAGTGATGGAAATACTGCTACAGGGTTTCCTAGTTATTTGTGAGAGTGATGTGCAGAGAGACAAGTGAGCAGCTCTGATTCTGCTGATTTCTGAAGGGAAGACAAACACCTGGAAAATCAGCTGAAGATAATGGATAATACAGCTAAGTAATCCTTTTCTAAAATTTCAGCAGAGAATAGAGAAGAAACAAGATGGTGCTATGGTTGACAAATCAGTGTGAGCCTGGGTAAACTATTAAGTCAGCAAACCCAGGTTCATCTTCAGGAATCACCACTTTTATTTCCTTTAATGTACCCATTCTGTAGTACCCTTATGAGAGTGTTGGGAATGCTTTGAATGTGCAGCAGAATCATTGTAGAATGCACAAGTGTCTGACCTTTTGGCTTGCCTGGCCCTCACTGAGTGAAGAGTAATTGCCTTGGGCAGTAAGTTGCTCTGAAAGCAATGCCTCTTATTTTCTGGGAACTACAACAGATACAATGAGCACAGTAGCTCCATTTGATAGATCAAATTCTTAACCTGCAAAATGCTATTTCTTAATATAGTCATTGCTGTTAGCTATGCTAACCATGAGCATACATGCCATGCTCATCAAAACCTACACTAACAGAGGTGACCTACTGTTGCCACTGCACCATGCATCTCCCACTGCCTCACTGTGCTCACATCCACTGTTGGATCTCCCTAAATGTTCAAATATCAATGAAGCGGTTGGGTTTTTTTTAAGTGCAGGATTTTGGTGACCCCTTTGTTCCCTATGGACTTCCTTGTCAGATATCGTTGTGTCAGACTGCCTGTCTGCTGCAATCTGTCCCACAGCAGCATGTAATGGGATATTGGTGGAAAGGTTTGACCTCTGCTGCCATCCCACCAGCATCCACCTTTGACCATGTGATCCAAAATAATTAAACTGGAGGCATTACTTTTGGAGCAGCACTTGTATAACAGTTTAGTTATTTACATGACTTTTTAGTATTTCTATTCAAACCGAAAAAGTGCAACAATCTGTAAAAATAATGGGAATTGTGATCTTGTTTCTGTGAAACTAATGAATCAGTTTGGTTCAGTGGCAGTGGTTACAATCCTCAGTGAGTTCTCAAGGTTCTCACTGGAGTTTTTTTATGAAGCTTTACTCTTTTTTGTGCTTTGTCATTGACAGCAGTTGTTCACAGATGTACCACTGCCAGAAGCAATGATGTGAATAAGGCATGATTGTGAAGTGAGTGGTATTCCTCTTATTAAAATCTGGTAAAGAGGCATGATGAGCTTTTTGAGTTGACTATTTGATTATAAATGTGTACATTCCATTTGAAAAATACATTGTGTCAAATGAAAATGGAGTTGCAAGTTTACAAAAATGTTTTTTTGCAATCTTGAAACCGGCGCTCAAATTCCTCGTCTAAACAGAAATCAAGGCTGCATATTTTTTTGCTGCTAGCAGAACCTTTTAGCCAGTGTATCAAAATGCATAAAATTATTTGCCATAATTTGAGTTAGCACTGTGCTCTTCATGCCCTGGTTTCAGCTCGGTGTTAATAGCACACTGATATTTGGTTGCTTCTGAGCAGTGGGTGTATGGCTGGGGCTGGGCCAGGCTGCTTGATGGGGCGGAGCTGCTGCTGTGGCGGTGGCTGCCTTGCAAGCTCTGCTGGGCTGCATGAGGGCTGCAGGTTGGACGTGCCTGTTATGGTCCCTGCTTAGCCTGAGGATGTGAGTATTGATCAAAACAAGTCTAGAATAACAGATTTTTCTGGATGGTGGGCTGTGATTTACTTCTAAGGGATTCACAGAAGAGAAGTAGAAACAGCCTTTAAATTGTTTATGAAGGCCTAAATCTCTTTAAGGTTGTTCAGAATCAGCATGTTGAAAAAACATGAAATTCCTGACCTATTACTAGGTTGAAAACACAGCATTCTCCATGGTTCTTCCTTAATATTTGAGGAAGAAGTAGTATGTTGAGGCCACTGTTGCAGGTTGTTGCAGAAAGCCCACTACTGAGCCTTTTGCTATGTACAACTCCTGGGTTTGAACAAGAAACAGAAGAAATCATGTTTTTATCTTGGGGTTTAATCAGATCAAATGATTCTGCAAGGGGCCATGTGTCTTACAGATTCTTACAGATGAAAATGAGGCACAAAGCGCTGAAATAACTTGCACAAAAACATCTTTAGGCTATTAGTGGGGCTAGGAATAGAACGTAGGGAACATGAGTCTTTATCTAAGACTTTCTCCACAGCGTCACATCACAACTTTCAGAAGCGTAAGTTTCTACCTATCATTTCTAACTATTTCATAAGCTGTTAATGTATACCTGGTCTAAAAATACTGTTTTGAAGACTTGGGACTGACTCGCTGATGACTACTTGAATTTAAACCTAGAGGGTTGTTTCTCATAAGCTTGGAAGAAGTGAACCTTTCAGAAATTGAGATATCTACAACTTGTTCTTGCTCTGCAGCTAAATATATGATTGCTGTTTTGTTGCAGTTGCTCTGACCCCTGGTTCTGCTATGTGTTCCTGATCTTACAGTAAATGATTGTTAAAACTCTCTGCATTTGTCTGGAATCTGTCTCCTGAAATCTAGCTTGATTTTGGCTGACCTTAATGGGTTGTCTTGTGGGTGAATGTCTGTGCCTGGTGTGTTATTTGTTGCTGTACCAGCTTGGATTCTGCAGAATGAGTAAAGACCTTGGGAAGAAGGAAAAATGTGGTGTTTTCTGGAAGTACACACTGTTGAAACTTGGTTATTTAACATCCTAGTTTTGATTCTGCCCTAAGAAAAAAATTTTTGGAAGTTGGAATGATATCTGAGGGTTTGTTTGCTTGTTTTTAATAAAAAGTAACTGCTGAAGAGTCCTGGTGGCATGGTATTTTTCAAAGCACCATCAGCACTCTTCTGGTCATGTTTGTATGTACCCATAGATATTGTTTTGAAACATCACCTGCCTTAGGATTTTCCTGGGAAGGTGTTCAGGTTTTGGTGGCATTGTAGAGCATCCAAAAGATGCTTCTTAAGTGGTATTCAGCAGCTCAGTGCTAACTCTGAGGTTTATGAAGGAGTGACATCTACTTCAATCCTGAACTCAAGAACTGAAAGCGTGGAAGCAAAGTAGTCTCACTATCAGCATGTGAATACAGTGGTAAAATGTTTTTGCTTCAGATACTTGTTGTGGAGTCTCCTTCTCTGGAGATGTTCAAGACCTGCCTGGATGCCCACCTGTGCGACCTGCTGTAGGGAACCTGCTTTGGCAGGGGGGTTGGACTCGATGATCTCTGGAGGTCCCTTCCAACCCCTACAATTCTGTGATACTGAAAGCAAAGCAGGTTGAGTGTGGATTCTGTTCGTGTTATCTGCCTACTTTATCTTTTTGTTCACTGGTGGGAACAAGTTCTTCATACTAACAACGATGAATACACAGAATCTTAGTATCTTTCTTTGCTGTCTGGTAGACCACTGCTGTAGATCTCCTGCTCCAAAACTGTATCCTGTTCTTCAGGGGGCTTATTTAACTGTGGAAGGGTGGTGAAATTAACTGCAGTGAGCCTGCCAACCACTGATCAGAAAAAGTAAATAGGTAATGACACATCATATGCTTATGTTTTGTCAGTTTGTTCCATCTCTGTGTTGGGCAGCTGGAGGAGAGGAGTTGGGTCCTTGTTCTTCTTAGCCTCACTTGTATCTGTCAGTCGTGGCTTATCTTAGGAGTGAGGAAAAAGGTCTACTTAACATTGTGATTTATGGAAGATATTTCCCCAGAAAGGGTTTTTGAATGTCCTGAAGAGTATTTTGCAGTTAGGGTTTAATTTGTTGCCATTAAAAAGCAAGCCTGCTCTTCACAGGTGTTGTTTTGCTATCCCTATCCTGTCCCCTGTTCTGTCAACTAGTATTTATGCAACAGCATGGTTAAGCTGAGGTAATTTAGCTGAGAAATAATCTAGCTAGAAGTGCAGCTAGTTTTCATGTGCATGGATAACTGTTATTGCAGGCATGTGGCAGGAAAGCATGGCTCTTGTGTGGTGAAAAGTTTGGGTTGCACACAGTTGCTGCGCTCCTGGAATTGCATGCCATTAGCCCCTTCCTGAACCTTTGGGTGAAAGCCATGTTTCGTTAGGTCTGTTTTTCTGGGATGCTCTCGGATGTGGCTGCTCTGCTGTAGGATCTCTCTAGGCTGCTGATGAAGCACTGTATTGTGTTTCTTGGCTAATCCATCCGTTTCAGCAAGTGGAAGTGTTGCTTAAAGATAACCAGCTTACAGTGGCTCAAAGCATATGGCCTTAATGACTTTAAACAGTTTTGTTTCTCTTTGTTGCCACGTGGTGGTGATGTTGGTTGTTCCCTCCTACCCAATAGGTAGATCAGTGCCTCCAGATGACTAACCAGTGCCATGTGGTTTTGGCAGTTACCAATATGGTGAGGAAATGCATGCTCTTGTTTGTATTCTTATTCACATGTAAATATTCCTGTACCTCAGCAGGGTGAGCTAATCAACAGGAAGTATTTTGCAACAGACAACATTGACAAAATATAATCATTTTTCAGGGTAATGCGCTACAGGTATCTCCTTTTGAATCCTTGGTCATCAAGGTCCATAACCCTTTGTTTCACAGAGGACGTAAAATCAGGAATTCACCCAGGCTAACCAGTAAAGGATAACTGGCACTGTGTGTGGAGAGGACTGTTCTCTCCTTCAGTTGCCCATGACTAATGCCTTGGGTTCTCATGAGTTTTATGCTGACAAGCAGAGATGGGGAAGAGATCATCCATTCAGAACGTGTGTTTAAATGAGATCGATAGCACTCTAAAATCCTCTCTGCTGACTACTGATTATAAGTGTCAGTGTGATCTAGGCCTTGAAGAAATTTATATGATATAGGTGACAGCATAGTCACTGTAAGGAGAGCTTCCAAAACAGTTACACCTAAGATCTAACTTTGCTTAATCAGTTCTGACTTTCCTGCACTTGTCTGTGTCCAGTACTACAAACCCAGGTCTGCTGAGGCACTGAAAATCTTATGTCTTCTAGTAGCTCACAGTTTGTCTCTGTTCTTCTTTACAGCAAAGCGGAAGAGGAAAGTGGAAAACTGAGATTCTCATGTATTTTGAAGTCTCATTTGGGTAAGATGAGAAGGGAAACTTGAATAAGGCAATATTAGTCAAACATTCTAAAGATTTTTTCCAATTGGGAATTGTATGAAAGGAAACTGTGTGTGCTGTTTGTGTGTATGGGTTGTTGTTAGTCACTGTAAGCTCATGATTGAGATGCTGTTCTAGAAGTTCATTATGTTTGTTTTGTAATCTCCATTTCTTCATAGCTGATCTTTGTCTTTTTTCATCAAACAGATGATCTTATTTCTGTGATTAAGTTAATGACTTTGTCTTGTAAATATTGCTTGGCAAAAACAGGTATATTTTTATATAAGTTTAGTTTTAGATTTACATCTGTAGGTAGTATTACTTCTGTTGAAGGTGTGAGTTTTATTTTTTTTTCCCTAGTGATAAATGGTGCAGAAAACAAATTGAGAATGAGAAAAAGCATCAAATCAAACATTCTTTATATAAACTCTTTTTCAATGTGATGTGAGTTGCAATGGCTGATTCTTGGGCAACATTGGACTCTGGAATATGCAGAGCAATTTTTCATAGCTCTGAAGATGTTTGAGTGGATACTGTAGGGCTAGCCATCACAGTTATGTAGTTTCCACAGCCTGCATGAGTGTCTTGACAGCTGGCTGTGTTCTGTTGCAAGACAGTATATTGGACTATGTATGCATGCCTTCAGTGTTTCAAAACTCAGCCTGTGAGGTGTGGGAGAAAGAAGCTAGCAGTCACATTGATGAGTCAAATTCTTTGGAGGTGTGCAAGAGTAGTTGGTGAAGGAACATAAAAAGATGAAGGTTGGGGAATGGAATGTTTGGTGTTGGTTTTAATTAGAATTGTCCTGTTCATCATCGTGAGATAAAAGGGAAAAATATCCTCTCTGCACATGCAGAGAAAAATATTTCTATTACAGTTGGTGAGCAATTCTGATTGGACTGCCAAATATGAATTTGTCTAAAACTCATACCGATTCAGTATTAAAGCTAGCAGTTTTCTCAGAAAAAAGAACCAACAAAAAACCGCAAACCACCAAACTAATAAAGCCCAGTCTGTGAACTTTTCTCTCATGAATATAGGTCTTCTTGTGGCTTCTTCCTTCCAAACAGTATAAAGATGGGATTCATATTGTGGTTTGGAAGAGAGCGTGTTTTAAACCAGAGGAGGAAGTCAATGGATGACCTTTAGAGCTTAGGGAAGAAGGTTTTGGAGGGGCTTTCTTCCAGCCAAGGAGTTACCAGCTGCTCGACCATGCTGTTGTCTTCCCACAGGTGTGGGGTGGTGACATGCCAGGAGAGGTATTTGCTACCCTTGATCGTAGTTAGTCATGCTAAGTGTCCTGTGTTCTAATCTCCCAGCATTGCAAAGCAGCCAAAGTGACCGATACTGTTACTTCACATGATCCTGCACGGTAGATTAGAATCTGCTGCTCCTGAATTTAATTAGCTGGCAGCATCTTTAAAATACTTTCTGGAGTGTTTGGATTGTAATCATTTTTAAGGCTTGAAGCTTATTAAATGAAGCAAAACAATCTGTTCTCCTTTCGTATTAAAAAAATTATATTCAAATTGTTCTACATTTTAAAATTTAACATCAGGATAAGTGGGTGCAAGTAACCCTTCCACCCTCCGATTGATACAAAGGACGTTCTCACTTTGTGTAAATGCCTCTGTGTAGTCTGTAGTTCCATCTGAACAAATCTGGTTTTGGCTTCTGACTAAGCATACAAAGAGATAGGCCGGGGTAAGTACGTTGGGTTGCTTTCAAGCATGATATGACAGATGTCATATCTAAAAATAATGGTAAAGAAAACAAAGCTCTAAATTGATTGCTTTCCCTTTCTGAAATACAAGTAAGGCAGTTTTGACATTATTCAATTCAGGTCATCAAATTCATATAATTATACACTGATGTAATGCGTACGTCTTAGAAGAATGAGAAGTACAGAAAGATAAGTGTGAATGTAAATTTACTCATCTTTTATAAAATGCTTTCTTGAGGTGCTGACATTTTCAGTACATTGATTGTTCATAATGAATACTCTTGCATAAAATATTTCAAAGGCAATTTTCTGAGGCCAGAAAATGACTAAAAAGTTATTCACTAAAGAGCAGTCAATAATCTGTGTCCAGAAGCAGATTTATGGGATGTGAAATAAATTGATGTAACAGAGGTTGCTTACATGAAAGAATTACCTGCCCTTTTACAGATTCGATGTCCTGAAACAGAAACCTCAAAAGTGATGTGAGCCGATTCAGAGGCAGTCATTCTGTACTGTGTAGTCCTGGGCCACTGGAGGAAAAGAAGGAAATGGCTTTGGGCACAGTCCCCCTACTTGTAGCAGAAGTTCAAGAGGTGGTCATCTCTGCAGGTAAAAAGCAAAGTTTTTTTTGCTGTATACTTCAGAATGGATTATGCTAGTCAGTGAAGATATAGTATATTTCAAGAATTTACTTAAAAATAAGGAAAATAAATTCGTTGATTCTGACTGCTTCCAGGCAGTAGTTTTTCAAACAGCTTGTCATATGTTTCTTGGCTTTTACAGCTTCACATAAAAGGTTTTCCTGGTTCATAAAGGAAATTAATGTGAAATCAATAATGGCATTTAAAAATTCACCAAACATTTCCCATCCAGAGAAAGTCTCTTTCAGAGTGCTATTAATGATACAGCAGAGTGGGGAAAAACACAGCATTGACCCTAAAGGCAGACAAAAAAGAAAGCAGCACTGATGGAAAATGCAATGAGGAATTACGCTTTTGGGCATACCAGGAGCAGGGGAGATCTGCCTGTACCCTGACCTGAACAAACTGTGGGATCAACTTGCAAAATCCTTTGCTTGAAAACGTAGCCTAGATGCTGCACTGACTTCAAGCTGAAGGATGCAAGTGGCATGAACAACAAAGACAAACTCACTTGATGGTGAAAATACCAACAGAAACAGTAAGACTTGTTTCTTGTAGTATATTACAACTGTATAAACCACTGCATTCCAGGCAATGAAGAGGATACTTTTGCTGCTTCAGATTGCTTTATCCTGCTATCCCAGGAAACTTGGAATCATTGTGGAAATGGGAAAGACAAGTCATAGAAATGGATTTGTTCATTAGTTTCTATTTTTAATGAAAGCCCTAAGAGGAACCATACAAAAAATACAAGTGAAAAAATACCTGGTGGTCTGGTGGCTGTATACATGCTTAGGCCACTACTCTACTGAAAAAGTTCCGTTGTAGGTATAAGTTGTGCTGTTTAATAGCACTGTAATTAGCGACAGTTGTCACATTTATACTATTTGTCAGTTTTCCTTTCTCCCTCCTTTTTCCAGCCTTTTTCACGGGGTAGCTCAGAAATAGTAGAGCAAACCTTTGGAGTTTGGGGTGTGTGGTCCTTGCTGAAAGGTGGTTTCCTGATAACCTGCACCCAAGAGCGCACCTCTGTGCTGTGCAGCCTCACCGCCAGCACCAGGTGCGGATCTGGGTGCTGCAGTAAAAAAAAAAAAAAAAAGAACAAAAAAAGGGCTCAAAGCTGTTTTAGAGCCCAAAGGAGGGCTACAAAGATGGAGAAGGGTCTGGAGGGCAAGGAGTGTGAGGAGCAGCCGAGGTCCCTGGGTTTGTTCAGAGCAGAGGAGATGTGGAGAGGCCTCAAGGCGACTGCAGCTCCTCAAAGGGAGCGAAGGGCAGCGCTGAGCTCTGATCTGTGTGACAGCAACAGGGCCCAAGGGAACGGCATGGAGCTGTCAGGGCAGGGGCAGCTGGGGGTTAGGGAAAGGCTCTGCCCCGCAGGGTGATGGATGCTGCCCCAGTACTGGAGTGCAAGGAGTGTTTAGACAGCGCTCAGCCTCAGGGTTTGGATTTGGGGTAGAGCTGTGCGGAGCCAGGAACCAGACTCGATGATCCTTGTGGGTCCCTTCCAACTCATGATATTTTATGATTCTGTGGTTCTGCCACCTCCAGACACCCATACCTACATTTCCTCAATTATTTTCAATCATTTTAAAATACTCATCTCTATTGCTTATGGCACTTTCCAGTTTGGGGCATTGAGAATCTTACATTTTTCCCAACCTTTTCTGTAAGCTTCGGAGTCAGGAAATCATTTTGCTTTCTGGGTAAAAATTGTGATTTTGCATGGAAGCACTCAAGTCCAGAAGCTGAAGCTTCAACCAGCAGACAGGGGGTACATGGTAAAGCTGGCAGAATTGCGCTGCTCTGAGCACTTTCAGAGACATATGCTGCTTTTCCTGCTCCTGGAAGAAGTCCCACAGATGTCTCATGTTTATTCACTTGAGTCATGGTTGCAGAGCTGGGTTTTTGGTGGTTTGAATTCCCAGATACGCTGTATATTTATGGCGTTGAAAGTGCTAATTCAAAATTAAGTGCCTATTTTAAAAGAGGATTATGTTTTACCAAAAACCGATAGTTTGAATTTAGACTAAATTTCCTCCCCAATTATAACAATATTTGGTCAGAATGAGATATCTCCAAAGACAAAGAAACAAAACAACATGAAGCTAAATGGGACATGGCATGCTTTTATGTTGAGTTCGTTTTCCCCTTGATTTTTACCGGTGGCATTACCGTGATATTAGTCACTAGGTGGTGCTATCCCACATGGTCTCCTGCATTCCTGCTCTCTGGGCGCGAGTGGCCTGGGCTCTATGTTTTCAGCAGGCATTTGTTTTGGAAAGAGGACCTGAGCTATACAGTTAGACAGTAGGCTCTCACAGCTCTTTGGACAGGAATGAATTTTTAGAGTCAAATTACCCTAGAGAGCGTGGGTATTATTTTTTTGACTGAGATGCCAGAAATGAGGGATTGCCTGTGTGCCATTTATGACCATCTCTACACCCGGATTAATGTGCTCTGTAACAATTGCTGGTGCTAAGCCTGTTCTTACAAGCAGTTTAATTCTACAAGCTCTATTAAGATAGAAGGCTTTAATGTCCGATGCATCAACACAATAATAGCTTTTTTCCCGCGTGTACTTCTGCTGTTAACTGAATGTATTATATGTATTTTTATACATTGTACCACTAACAGATGTTAGGCAACCTGAGGAAATTTACACTAAGTTTCCACTTCTTACGTTTGTTTTGTATTTTCAAAATGATGTTCCAAATTCATTCTGTCAGATTTTTTTTTTTGGGGGGGGAGGGGGTTGTTGTTGTGTTTTGTTTGTTTTATGAGAAGTGGAAACAAATACTATCCAGAATAGTCCTTTCCAGGGTAGAAAATCTTAGATGTGCCCCAGTAAGAGATTAACTGAGTACTGAGGAGAGTCTGAAAATGGGAAACATTTCTCCGTGCCTTCTCAAAATTTTCCACAAGGCTTCTGGAACATTTGAATTATCTGACTGTAAGTCAGTTTGGTTTTCAGGCGAAGTTGTTTTCTTTTTCCTCACTTGTAGTATTTTTACAGGAAGTGAGGACAAGATCAGACAGATGGAAGGAAAAAAGTGTGAAGGAATTGCAACATCAAAATCTTTTTGATTTGAAAAGTGAAAACATCAGTTGCGTAGCTTCCACATTTACATTTCAGGAAGTTTTTGAAAGTGCCTTTTATTTCTTTTTTATATGCTGTGCTTATTCAGAGAGGGTTGAGAATGAAAAATACCAATTAGGCCTTTTAAGTGTTTTCATATGGAATCTATCTTCAGCTGCATACCAAAAAACGTCTTTGTTATTTTTTCATTGAGACCCTAATCTTGGAATGACTTTTCATTTACTGGTGCCTTTTAAGTCTGCTGTTCTATTCCAGGTCAGATCCTTCCTGCTTGCCCCTTTTACCCTGTCTCAACCTCTTGCATACTCACCGTAGGGCAAAGCTTGCAGTTATTTTCCACCTGCATGAGAAGGATTTCCCCTCTCAGGGATCCACAGTGGAAGCCAAGCTGAGTTCAGGCTGGTTCTAATTTGTTTTTTTGTGAGAAAGTTTCTTGTGGTGTATTATATTTAATACTGAAACTTACAATTTGTGAATTAACTTGTTAGCAGTTCAAAGGCCTTTGTTTATTATTTGGTTTAGTCAGGTGAAATGGCTTGTTTTTTCTTTTTTTGCATCATTAGCACTGCCTTTGTCTCTGTTTGTTGCTGTTCTTATTTAACCTTGTGATGGTATACTCACTAAGCTTCCTTCTTTGGCAATAATTTAGTAATATTAAAATACCATTTTCAAGGAGAAAAGTTCCAGTATCTGTTTTTTAGAATTCTGATGACTTGAATTGGGAAAAAGAAAAAAAGAAAATGAATTCCCCTTAAAACTATGTGTCTTCTTTAGTTGCTTCAGATTAACAATGTTATATTTTTATAATATATAATATAATAATATATATATTTTTATATATATTTAGATTCTCTGAAGTATGTGTATTTTAACTTGTCCTATGGTGCTCAGGTTTATTTGCATGTATTTGACATGAAAGAAACAGTTGGAATCATCTTAAAAAAAAAACACCAAAAACAAACAAACAAAAAATACAACACCTTATTATTCTCCCCTGATTTGATATTACAGAGTTTGTAACCCCTGGCAGCACACAGGATTTGTATTCAGATTATTGCTCACAGTCCCACTTCACAGTCTTGCAGTGACCATGTGCCTGTTATCACGCCTCAGTTATCAGATCTGCAGCTAAATAGATCTTGTGAACTGCTGTTGAAAGTGCCTGGTGATCCATTCAGATGAAAGGCTGATGTTCAGAATGGAGTTTCTTGTACCCAGTGTTCTCGTGTGTTTCTCACTAGGCGTTCATAGCCTTCAGCTGGAGCTGGAGGAGCTAACAGTTGTTTGCCTATGTCAAATAATTAAACGTGTAACAGGAGAGAACCACACTCAAGTTTTACCAGGTACCAGTCTAAAAATGTAATCCATCATGTTGTATAGGTAACTTACAGTATGTATTAGAGAAACCAAAGAACTTCCCTTATGAGGACAGGCTAAGAGCTGGGGCTCTTCAGCTGGAGAAGAGAAGGCTCTGAGGAGCTTTATAGAGGTCTTCCAGTACCTGGAGGAGCCTACAGGAAGGATGGGGAGGGACTTTTTGTAAGGGCATGTAGCGACAGTATGAGGGAAAGTGACTTTAAACTGGAATGGTGCATATCTAAACTAGATATTAGGAAGAAATTCTTCACTGAGAGAGTGGTGAGACACTGGAACATGTTGCCCAGGGAGGTTGTTGATGCCCCCTCCCTGGAGGCCAGGCTGGATGGGGCTGTGAGCAACCTGGTCTAGAGGGAGCTGTGCCTATCTATAGCAGGGGGTTGGAACTACTTCATCTTAAAGGTCCTTTTTAACCCAAACCAGAGTATGATTCAGTGATCTGCATCACAAAATGAAAGCGTAGCTACAAGATCTGCTTGGAATTTTTGTGCATG